TATTTGGTCATAAAAAGTGGACACCTAAGTCCTTGCGCATCGAAAGCGGAGAAATTTTCGTATCCACACTGCATTGCCATCCTTTCGCACTGTGCTTTGGTTAGTATTGGTGTGGTATTTAGCAGGTTAGAAGGTTAGGTCATCAACTTTTACTTGAATTATACTAAAAACTGAAATCATAAACTCAAACCTATCTAGACGTCCACAGTAGCTTCAGGATAGCAAGGCAATGTTTATAACTTTTGTTTCGCATTCGAGAGTTTTGTGATCGGCAGTTGACGAAAACCACAAACTGTCTTTAGAATCCTTTGAACAAGTCGATCGTCCAATAAAATACAGCCGTCAACGTTGTCAAAGCTATCAATGGTCATCGAAGAATGGCTGCGCGAGGAATTCGAGAATACCTATCACTTGGAACGACTAGAAGTGGGGACAGCCACTTGCAACAACGGTACATTATCACTTTGGACTTCAAATGTAGGAAACCAAAATACTCTAAACGACCTACCTTGGTCCTCGGAAGTGTTTACCCTACACACAGGACACTGGGATTGCAACAACAGTAATTACAGTTGAACACGAACTGGAAACCTATGTCGGGTACCTGCCATCCCTTTTCTTCGATTTCGCCCCTCATTCGACTTGGTTGAGGCTTCGAGCGGTGAGCACTGGTGAATATCCTAGCGCGACATAGCCTGGCGAAATCACACGTTCCTGTCATTCACTGCATGAATCATAATTATCAGAGAGGAGCAAAGAAAAACATCCCATTACAGTACCGGTACCTGCTTTAGACGGAGCGAATAGTGGGTACTCCTACTAACGATGATTATCTACATGAGGCTGATGACTGCGGTAGATCTGCAATGTGAATAATTCTTTGTCGCTCGTAAGTGCTCTACAATCAAGAGTACTGCTAGCAAGAGTAGATAAACACTTATCTTGCAGTCTTGCTAGTACCCAACCCCCAAGCATTGGTAAGAACGCAGCACACTAATCAAGGTTTCCTGCAAGCACACCATGCGGGTCTACACTGCAGCAACGCACAGACAATTATTATTTGCGACAACTCTGGCAAGGGGTCACAGTACAAAGGTCACATGAATTTGACCCTGTCCCGGTCGTCCAGAATAGACACGAAAACAGAGATAGAAAAACCGTTGAAGACTGGGAACAACGAAGAAGGGAATGATGTATACCATGGCCGGGAAATGCCGAAGGAACAGGCTCAAGACAGCAGTATGCAGTTCATACACATACAGAACTCAGAATGTTTACACACACGTCAACTTCAAGACTGCTCTTCACCAACCTTACCCTGCCAAATAAACCGAAGCTAGCTTATGCGCGTTCAAAAACTGGAGGACGACCATATTCAGGGAAAATTACCTTCAGATAGGGGCAATCCACGGTGTCGCCCAAATGCTGCTTCTTTTCTGCGGGTTCGTCATAGCGAGCAGGCTGCATCCGTCACGTCTCTTATGCCCGCCCATTGCCGGTACCAATACACGCTACACTTGAACTCATCCCTGTAAGCCGCGAAGAGAACAAACAAAGAAAACACGATGTTCTACACACTGTAGCAGCAGCCACTACTACTCCACTACGCACCATTGTAGTAGTATGGTAACAGGTTGGTGAAAGTACAACACACATCCGACAATGACTTGCCTGGTTTGGTGATGTCCTTACAGACCGCGTCTTCTCCGGAGGGGCGATGGACTGTAGGGATGCAAAGTAACCGCTATGCTTGTGTAGCGAGCGGATATTTCCGGCACTTGAACCATCTCCAGTGCATCCTCCGTCAACTACAGTGTAACTCTTTCCTCCTTTGTAAGCATGAGCTCCCCGCCAAAAGCAGGACGAACGATTATACTTCAGTAATACCGTAATAACATTGCATTGAAGACCAATTGACTTTTCAGGGAAGAAGAAGCACAACCATCCAAACGACAAGATGCAAACAACTGAAATAGCGGTTTTTCCTGGGGCACAGCTACCCCATGCCGCGCCATGGCTCAAGCACCTGCATGCTGCTTCTGAGAAGTCTGCCTGCGTTGTCCAATCACAGCAGAGGTCATGAACTTTACGTCGCATACGCGCGTACCTGTAACTACTCGTAGAGTTCGTAGAACTAGATACATCGGGCGCTTTCGATTACACGCATTTAGGGACCGGCGGATTCTGCTCGAAAAGGTGGCAGATTCTGCTCGAAAAGGTGGCAGATTCTGCTCGAAAAGCAGTGAAATTGGCAGAACCATACAAACCTTATGGCGGGCAATTCCTCGAATTCTGCTCCATTTCTTTATCCACATGCCAAACCTGCATGAAACTTACCAGAAAAAGTACCGAATTCTGCCAATTTTTCTGCCGGCAGAATCCGCCGGACCCTACACGCATTTCGGTCAATTCTAGAATTAGTTATTGTTGATGCACAGTTCGATTACACAAAAAGTGACAAATTCCGTCGTTAGAATTGATTTTATCCAATTCCGTCGAATCCGTCAATTCTGAAGAGAGGGCGGAATTTCTCTAATTCTGGCGCCAGAATTGCACAGTCGGTACCGGTCTGGTCATGACTCAAGCGCGCGAAGAGCCTCCCTGGCCGGCGTGTGCGCGATGCTGGGTCCACGTGCGCGTGAGGGTATACGTGATCTCTTTTTACGATTCATCAATTTTGTTTGTGACATGACATGAATAAAATGCGTTGTGAATTCCAGTCGTTCGTTTACGAGGCCGGATCCGGAATCCGCTCATTCTGGTCATTCCAGAATTTAAAAAAACCAGTTCCAGAATAGTGTAAACGTGTAATCGAAAGCGCCCATCATCCGAATCGTAGACCAGGCAGTACAGCCTTACAGTAGATTATCAAAAGACGAAACCCTTGGCCTTGGCTTCCCTCCCTGACCTTGGCTCGGTATCCGAAGCGCACTACGGACTACGGTCTTACTCTAGATAGTACTAGCAGCCTAGTAGCAAGAGTCCATAACCCCGGGGGGTTATGGACTCTTGCTAGTAGTAGTAGTAGCAGCCTAGTACTTAGTAGGCCCATACCGTACCGTCGCTAGGAGAAGGACATCGTCGTAACCAGGGAGTCGTCAAAAAGGTTTTCAATTTCACGACTCCCTGGTCCACGTCGTGACCGTGTTATGAAACTGACATGATTGGCTGTCTTGTGTCTGCCATTGCAACATGTTGCCGGTAGCTAGCGATAGCACTAGTCTACGCAGTAGCGCAAGCAGTGAATGGAACTAAACTTCGCAGGGCAATCCTCACAGACATGTTGTCTTTTACACTGTAGGTCTACATCGTGTCTAGTAGAATCTACTCAATAGCTACAATGTACTGTAATCGCCTGAAAGTGACATTGGGTTGCAAAAGCAACTGTGTAGGATATTCATTTTTGAAAGGTTGTACTTGGAGCGTAGGCTGCCAAAGGAGGCTACCTGGCGGAATAGCCGGGATCGTGCGGGACTTGGGGCATTGAACTATTAGTATTACTTCTGAAGTGGGGCGGAAGAGACTTGTCAGCATGTATAGCATTTCTAGCATACATGAACATGCACATTAGCCCTTGGCGGATTATGCTCGGTGAATTGCTGAATTATGCTTTCCAGGGATCCATTATGCCCAAATTATGCCAGTGATTATGGTAGATCTACATTATGCTGGAATTATGTCAATTATGGTGCTATACTATGCTGCGGTCCAATCTAATGGTATGGTGAACTCAGTACAAACAGCCCTTGGCGGATTATGTTCTGTAAATTGCTGAATTATGCTTTCCGTTATGCCCAAATTATGCCAGTGATTATGCCAGTGATTATGCCAGTGATTGTGCTGGAATCATGCCATGCCGCCAGTGATGGTGCTATAGGCTGTACCCTTGCACTCTTGTTGCACTTTGCAACGTTACAACGGCTCTGACACCATGACAGCACGGCTTATAAGGGGTAACCTTCACCAGGTTATTTCATTAAACCCTGCCTAAATATGCGTGGAGCATTAATCTTCAGCCAGCATCGTAAGGTTATGCCGACCGTCCGGTCTCAGAAGTCCTTCTATGCCAGGGCATAATTTAATAAGTAGACAAAATCCGAAGATTAGAGGTCACATGCCTAACACTTTGAAATTCTCCGTGAAGTCCAAATTTGAAATTCCGAAGATCATGCCAGCATAATCCGCCAAGGGCTAATGGCCTAATGCACATCTATCGATACTAGTATACTCAGACTACTACGCCGTGCAGCTAATTGCAATGATTATGTACGATCATGTACATGTATGATAATGACGTTCTTCAAAAGTGTATGTTGGTTTTAGCAGTGAAACTTTTATACATGTAGTCAGCAGTACATTGTATTAGGACCTTTCGCCTAGACAACTGTCATACTGTCACACCAATGGCAATTGTCGCCATCGCCCTTATCAGATGGCATGTAGGGGCGTGAAGTCAATTGTTTGTCACACTCAAACATTTTATCAGACATTGCCAATCTATTAAACCCGGAATCCTGTGACTGTGCATTTTTACTTTACAGAAGTGTCTGATATTGAAGTCCTTGTAGCATTCATGCATTGTATTATACATTTTATTTTGCACAATGAATCATTATCATGAGGATGTGTCCTTTTTTGTCCGGGGCTGTATCACACGCCCCCTCGGCCACTAGCTTGGATCGCATGGAATGAATCGTGATCTTTTCCGGACTACGACTCGTAGTTGATCATATCACTGGCGCATGGCAATGCCACTGGTGACTGCTGCCTCGCGTTGGCCTGGCATTCGGAGTAGATCTACATTTTGTACATCTCGCTAGCGCTGGTGCCTGGTGGCAGTTGTTGCAGATGGCACTTGGTTTTGCAAGTGCCTTTGCATCACGTGCTCAGAATCGGTGTGCAGTATGCAACTCCACTACTGGCACTAGCGTGATTGATCAGGATCGCTCAAATGATACTTCGTTAGAGATTGCGTCTGGGGAGACGTCTCAAATTGGTCACTATTTTGACGCCTCATTCTCCGTTCGTATCCAGAGATAAACAGGCAGCCCAGCTCAGCAGCTGCATGAAGCGGGCAGCACCTTCTTATGTTTTGCTCTGGTAGCAGTCGTGGATGGATAAATTCCAGTTCACAATGGAGAATCTTGGTCAGAAGGAGATCACACAGTTCTGTGGCACCTTGCCGCAGTGTTGCTTTTTTATGAAGTTGAACGTTATTGGAAACCAACAACCAGTTCACCATGCTGTTCAAATCTATGCTAATGATTTGTATGAGCGTCTCAGCTCTGTTTCTATCGTTGAACGACCATCTTGTATATGGCATTGGTGATGACAACGCACCCAGTGGAGAACAACAGCCCCATAGTCTTCACAAGGAGAACAAAAAATCTCCCAGGTAAGGTAAAATAATAACTAACTTTACCGTGAAGAGAGGATCTAGTGATCATGTATTTACTCCCGTTTGAGTGGAAGCTTTCTTAGCTTTAATGGTCCGGTGTCATCATGCGCATGTCACCAGTCTGGTAGGGATTATGACAACATAAAGGTCTGTCTACTCACATCATTAATATTTAGCAGCAGATGTATCCTTCCTGGTACTGTTTGGCTAACAAAGGTTGCTACACTGCAGGTGGCCCACTTTGTGGAATGTCCCAATGGTGGCGCGTGTACTGCTTTGGCCACATTGCAGTTTGATCATCCATGGTTATTACAGGTACAGGTGATACCATCTGACAGTGCAGTCCAGCATGCATGCAGACTGTACAACTACCAGTGGTATATCCGATTGATTGTAAATCATGAAGCTCACACTTTGAAGATGTACTCATAGGATAGGCAGGGATGGTGGTTATTTTGGAGGTGTACTGCCCCCCCCCCCCCCCACACACCCATCCATTTTTTGGAGGTCGACCTATCCCTCCGATCTCCCCCCCCCCCCCCTCTCCATGCCATCGCCATTGGCGTTTCTGAGTGTTCACAAACATGTACGGTATGATCATGCCATGTATAATAATTATCATTATAATGTGCCTGGCACTGTTTGGCTTCTACCACAGTACCAGTCCAGTGCTAATGTACAGCAGTCATGTAGACCAGAAGGCTATCATTATACATGTACATGTTTTTACTACCTCGAACCTTAACCATTTGTAATGAGTTATGAAGGGAAAGAAGCAATAGAGAACAGTGCTCTTGCTTAAGGATGTAGTCTATGGGGTTATTGGGCTGTTACACGCCCGTTGTACTGAGAGACACGGTATCCCCTCTCCCCTGACTCACTTGTGAGGTCTGTGTGTGTCGACACTAGGGTATATGGGTAAAGTGGTGACCCACAGCACAGATGTGAATCACAGTCTTTGCTTCATGCTTTCCTCAGCACGTCAGGCGATGCAGCCGAAAATTCGGCTAACTTTACTTACTATTGCTTGCATCGTCCTAGTCCATCGTTGTAATGTTTGTTACGGAGATCCAATCTGAGTTTTAAATGAACCTCTTCGGAGCATACTTCAGTTTTGATCTGAAGGTTTTCCTTTCCTGGGACTGCAACCTGTCAGTACTGCTCACAGAATACCTCCTATCAGAATGTCTGTACTGTACATGTACTGCATTACACATCATGACATGCGTGTGTGTGTGTGTGTGTGTGTGTGTGTGTGTGTGTGTGTGTGTGTGTATGTGTGTGTGTGTGTGTGTGATATGGCTCTTTGCTTGCAGAGCAAATTACATTAGCAGCATCAGCTATGGGAAGAATGCCCAGCCAGGTAAATTAATCAAGAGAAGGGTACTTCTTAGCCGTTTTGCTTTCAAAATTCCACTTCTGTTTTGATTCATAGTATCATGATGTACTTTTGACCTGCATGTTTGACACGTTGTATGCCTTCCCATTTGTCGAAATGTCCTTTTAATATCTTGCACTACACAGCTCACGTTTCTCTCCCATGTCTTTCAGGCCAAGTGCCAATCGATGTCACGTCGATGCACAGATACCTTGGGGATGAACCTGTGTTGGCCAGAAAGAAGCGTGCCGCTATTGATAATCCTGGACGCCTTTGGCCCAATGCTGAAGTACCTTATGCATTCTTCAAGCATCCTCGGTTTGGAGTTTTCAGTAAGTGTGATTTCATTTTCATGTCACTGCTACCTTTGTTGTGTGGTGCGTGCCACGCTTAGTAGAGTGCATGGAGAGAGATTATTATAATTAATTTTGCCATTTTGTGCTGTTTTTCTTAAAAAAGTAAAATTGTATAGCGAGAACTTATAAAAGATATTCTGCTTTCCTACGATACGTGTGTGCTGTGCAGCAAAAGGCCATATAGAAATCATACGTCGAGCTATCAGCTACATAGAGTCCACAACCTGTGTAAACTTCATGGAACTTACGTCGGACGAGGTCGTACGGAATCCACTGGGGAAGTTAATGATAGCTGGTGGCACTCATGGAGCAAGGTGAGTTTTGTTCAAGCACCTTTTCTTACCAATTTCAGAACCTCAGAAATGATCAAATTTCATCCGTATGGGATCAGTGAATTTTATCCCCAAACATTGGCGGTGAAATAGACTGCGTCCAGTGCACAGGTTACTAGTACTTCATTACTGTTTATAACATCTACATGCTCAGGTCCAGTGCTGGGTTAGCCACGGGGGTCCGGACCTGAATACCACAATGTGAAAGACGTTCACAAAACTGGAAGACTAGATGTGTACATGTATTGGAGTCTCAGAATGCAAACTGGCATGCTCTCTCATCCCGGAAGTTCAGCATGGCGCTTCTCTAGCAGCGGAATAGTTGATCATATCTAGCTCTCTATTCATACTAGTCCCAAATTCTACGGTTTATTTGCCTGTTTGTGTCTGTAGCTGTCAGAGTGAGGTCGGTATGTATTGGCCTCGTAATGATCCATTCCAAATTCTCTACTTGAGCACAGGGTGCCTTGGCAAGTTTGGAGGTAATAGAGTTGCACATGAGCTCATGCATGCACTGGGATTCTACCATGAACACACCAGGCCTGACAGGAACAAGTATATTCAGGTAAGATGTCATCATGTTTCCTTGTCATGCTGGAGGTATGCAGTGTAGTGACACCGCTGTGTTTAGTGACCGCACCATTGGACAGAGAAAATGTGTCTTGGAACAACTCGCCATATGTCGGCATGGGTCTGAGCGTATGTTGAAGCATAGTCTGGCACCTGATATTATCCGCCTCCAAAGACCTAAGCTCTGACCCCCCCCCCCCGGCATTTGAGCGTTTAGAGCACACTGGATAGGATACACTCCAGTTCCTTAAAAAGTTACCCAATGGAATACAATCTGACAACAACCTGCTTTTGTCCATGCTGCACATCATTGCTATGGTGCCGTGAGTGGGATTAATACAGCAAAACTCTTTCTTGCTCCTTCAAAAGTGTGATCAGGCATTTCTGAAAACAGATCATTTGGATAATCGGCATTCTACTGCATTCCTTTGTCTTTACCTATATCACATCTAACTACTGGTGGAGAGACATCACACTTCAAATATCAGCATAAAAGGGTACCAACGCGGCTGAATTTAGACTTTTTTGTTTTGAATAATACACTATTGGGTTCTGTATCATTATGTTGCAGATCAATTATCCAGCAATTCGTCCCAATTTTGTGGCAAATTTTCGTGTAGAGCTACAAGCTAACACACTGGACACTGAGTATGACTATGAGTCATGCCTTCATTACAGTGGTAAGTTGGATTTTTTACGGTGGAGATGCGAAGACTGGACATGCTAAGTCGGCTAAGCACTGCAACGACTTCCGCCCTTTTCTCATGAACTGCATCTGACAAACTTGAAAGCACCATGAACAAATGGAAGACATTCCCCTTTTGAGCTTGTCTCCAATTCCTTGTATCAAGGCTCATGTTGACCAGTATCACTCTGGCTGTTGTTGACCAGTATCACTCTGGCTGTTGTTGACACTCCCAGAGCAGAAGACATTAGCACTGTTGCACAAAAGCACATAGCATATTTAGGCTAGAAAACAATGGTTGTGCCTTGCCTGTCACTTTAGACTATGCAAGTAGTGCTTACCTACATTGTTTAAGCACAACTTTGTACAATAGGATTGTGACCGTAGTCCCAAAGCAATACAGAGAGCTTTTGGACTTGATCAGTCGTACCACGCCACTGAACTAGTTCTTCGCATATACCACCACTATTCCTCGGAACGGCGTATTAACCTCAAGCTCTACATTTTGTGTACCACTGTTTGACCCAACATCTTGCCAGTCCTCTTTTCAGTAATTGTATCAGGTTCAGGCAACTGCACCTGGTCAGCAGGCATACACAATGGACGAGGCACAACGAACCGTAGTTCTCCTACTTGTTTCTATGCAGTATGGCATGCACTCCATTTCTTTTCTGGCGGCAGGCAGATGGAATGCTCTTCAAGCTGACTTTCAGCATGCCCAGTCTCTTGTTAACTTCACCCAGGGTTCCCAGTAAATAGGCTGTAACCTGCTGGGACTCCCCTAGTAGAGTAATAATAAAACTACTTTGAGTACTACTACTGCTACAGCGTTACTCCTTTCTCTGCAGTGTGTTACTCATTATGACATAGACTACTAGCAGAAGCCAATCCAAGGCCTCACATTCACTTCACTTCTGTGGTTAGAAGATTGGCAGCAAACTTAAGGAGCCATTACAATTGGAGCCATTACAATTGAGTATACCTTGCAACAGCCATCATCCTGTCCAGCAGTTTCAAATGAACTATGATCTGTGTTTGTTGTGCAGTAGAGGTTCTCAGGATAGAGATAATAAACAGTAACAACTAAAATGAGTACTCTCGGTACCAGCACCTGCTCATAGTGGTTGCTGGTGCTTTTTAAATGTTTTGATTAAAATCGAATACCTACCCGACTAGATAAGGAAAGATTTTGAGAGGTGTTCTTATTGTGTAGCCAAGGACTTAGTGTGGCTGCGTGCGGTGGAAGTTACTATCACCCCTTACAAACCTTGCTTTGTTTCATTTTCTCATTGCTTTTGTTTTCTGGTAGACTTCCAGTACTTACGCCGAGGCCTGCGTTTTGGCACTAAAACATTCCTTCCCCTGCAAGCGGACAATTCTAGCCGTATTGGTCAGCGCTATGCACCCAGTTTGATGGACATTTTCCGTATAAATAAGCTGTACAGCTGCAATGCAAGGCGAGGTAAGCAATGACTATTCCGGACTTTTAAAGACTCTGAAGCGATGCAATCTCATGTATGCATTACTATACCCTAGACATCATAGTAGTCCATGGAGTGGGGATCATGTCTCCTCAGTACTTCGGACTACTTGCACATGTAGCTACATGTACTGTGACTAGCAGAAGGATTTCAAGTGGACCTGCCATGCTTCACAAAAGCAGCTCTGGCTGGAACCCCATGTTCCCATGTGGTGCACTTTTGTAGTGCAGGAAAAGTGTAAAGTATGTACTTTACACGTTGCTTGGATCAAGTTGTGCACTGGGCAGGGGGGCAACTCGTTTAATTGACAGGTCACGTTCATGTACATGTACCTTTTGGATCCTGTGCTGCACGCATACTGCACTGCACGCATACTGCACTGCTAGCATACTGACAGTGCTGCTGGTGTTAGGACTTGACAAGCTACACCGTCATACTCATATTGCCATACTATCTTTGCATACTGCGTTCTGATTGCAGAAACCTTGGCAGCAGTGGCATCATCGACATCCTCATCACCATCCTCATCGTCATCAGACTTGGACTGCACAGGATGTATTACATATCTCTATGTGGTGGTGTATTCAAGCAATGCAGCCTTACCAGTGCGGTCATCATCCACCAC